AAAGAGGTGAGACGTGTGCACGTACGTGCGTGATATTTTTTTCTCACAGACCAGCCCGCTGTGTTTAAATAGAGCAGGCAGCGCCCTTTCCACTTGTATTTATTTTGAACTGCCATTGCATTGTTTTGATCAAACCCCAGTATTCGCAGTAGGGGGTGTACCGGGCCAAATTTAACTTAACTAGAGAGCCTTTACAGCGAAAAAGCGATTAGACGCCAAAAGCTGGTTCTCAAGCTTAAGCTAAACAACGCTGGTTGGTAGAGTGTTCAGGATCTTGAATCTGCACAACTAAGATGGGCTACTTTCTAGTGCTGTTTAACTGGATCATCTTCATAATTGAGGTGTCCCGTACAATTTCGAGTGTCGTCCGTGAACTTTCGAGCTATATGATATCATTTGTGCGACCCCCATTGCCGAAAGATATGAAAGATAAAGTTGTCGTTGTTACTGGTGCGGCGACAAGGCTTGGCAGTGAAATTTCTCACCGATTCGCGCGACTCGGCGCTCAAGTTATCATGCTGGACGTCGATGAGGTTGGTGGAGAACGACTGTCGTACATATATGGAAGCGTTAGAAAAGTTGGTATAGCACGCTGAAGCGTTTCGACTCTTGAGTAGTTAAATGTCAAATGTGGGTAATTCACATATAGTCATTAGGCGACGCTCGTTTCGTGAGCACGTTCCCCTGCCTTTCGTACATTGTGGACTACAAATATAGCTTTCGAATAGATATTTGGTAACGTATATTTCGTGTGAGACATATGGTCGCTTGTAGTCGTATGGAAAATGTTTGATCACTTAGAGAACAATCGTTTGTCGCAGGCGGTGTTCTACTTGAAGATGCATATAACTACAAGTACAATAACGTGGTAACAAATGAAAAAGAGTATGGGAAAAAGACAAAAGGATATCCCAATGGGCTTTTACCTGCGGTTGAATTTTCAATGCCAAAAAATTGTTTAAATTAAAAATAATTTCAAAAAAATCTCCGATCTTAAAAGGTATTACAGGGTTCCTGGTGTATGTCGACCTGCAAGATCTGAATTATTATTTTTTAGCTAAATTGAACATTCTAAGGGTGTTTACACTAAAAAAGCAATATTTTTATCGGAAAATATTTTGAGGCATTTTTTCGCCTCTTCGTCCATTTCTTTTTGTGCTAAATGTATGTCTATATTTCTTAATATCTCCAATTTAGAGATATATAATAACGAGTGCAGAGTTCTCGACGATATTTAGAAACACAGTTAATAATTTCAATTGCTTCAGCTCAATCAGGATAGGGCTGTTCCTGATTTCAATCAACATAGGTTGTAATCGGCAAATCACTGTACGCGATCCAAATGCACTTTGAGCTTTATTACGTTGCCCCTGTGAACGCGCTTACGTACTAATCTTAGGGACGAGTAGTGATCTAGTTTTTTGCCTGTTTTGTACCGAGGGCCGGCCATGTGATGCAGTGCCTAACGGCAGTGTTAGACCTAAATATCGAAATATATAGGCATTGCTGATTGAAAAAAAAAAAAAGAATATTTATCTATTTAATTCGAAAGAAGTCATATAAATTGCTAATGCAGTTTGTAATGATGCTTCCTCGATAAAGGCTTCTCCCCGATGCCAGGGGATATGGAAACATATTATACTTAGTAAAAAATTATGGGTCTAAAATATCGCTCGGAACATCAGCTTAGCTTCACGATGCACCACTAATTGCTGGCTATCAAAGCTTTAATGAATGATAGAAGACAAAAACGATTTAAAAGAGAACCGCTTGATGCTGATATTTATGAGACCTCTTCAATAAACATTCAGAGAAAATAAAGCACGAGGTAGCCAATATAGACCTATATTACCGTTACACTATATCCTCCCAGTGATTAGTTACCATCCGTTTTTGCCAAGATGGCTCCTTACAATTTATAAACTAATACATAAACAGTCGACGTACACCTGAATCGTTGTTATTGTCACGTGCCGCAGTGACAGTTGGCCAACCCACCATTTTTGCAGATGGACAAATCAACAACGATGTCTTGCCTTGTCTATATTCTATTCAAGGTGATTAAAAGGTGCATTCTATAAGCGCGACTTGATTACGCAACCTGCTTTTAGTACGATATCCCCGAGGCAAGCAACGACCGCTTGAGTGTTCCTGAACGTTTTCGTAACGTCCTGTAATAAATGTGGACCATTGGGTGGCGCCTAGCAATACGTGTTACATATTTGTTTACCTGTTGCCGTATTTTTATGCCTGGGTTTGCACTTAGTGTTTAATGGAACATTCAAAATTACCTAGCATCTGTTATTGGTTCTATTCGTTTCGTTATCGTTGTTTCTTTAAATGTGTCTACATTAAGCACATTATATATATATTTTTTTCACTTAATTATGTTTACTCTCCAAGAAGACCTTATGGGATGGCGATTTAATGGGGGCCAGTCTGTCACTTTGGCGTGCTGTACCATATCCCTAGTGCAGTACACAAGTGAGAATAAGGCAAAAATAAAAACGGAGAAAAGTAAGTTTTAGGGCAGTGAAGATGCTGCACAAGTCGAAATCCTGTTTTTACATGTATCCTGTTATATATATATATATGTCAAATAGTATATCTCACTGCCAGCGCTCGAGCCAGCTTTCCGTAGGGTTTTCCCAAAGGTTATATATATGCATGGGTAGCAAGGAAGATATAACGTTCTGTTGCGTTCCCTTAGTTTAGTGCCTTGGGGGTTGTCGCCATAGATTTTGAAGAGTAAAAATTTTTTAGCGTGCCGCTTTTACTACCTCTAGTGCTGAAGAAAAAGAACAAAGGCCTGTTGAGGGCTGCGTCCAAAAGCGATAAGGTGTTCAAAATGAATCCAGGAAGTGCACCGCATTTATTGCACACAGCGAGGAAGCTGCTGTCGTTCGTTACTGATAACAGACGAGAAATCATGGTGAAAAGCTTCTGGCCGATACCACAGATCACTGCGGAGTGAACATGGGCTCAAATGAGTGTTGAAACACTGTCTAAGCGAGCCAACCTAGAGCATTTCCTAACCGTGAAGATGATGACGCAACGTCTCGTACTCTAATTGCACAATTAAATGCTTATTAATTTTACAGGGGCGGACACAGTTAATGTTGTTCTTCATCTCGAGACGCCTATAAGCTCCCGGCAACAATAAGGAAAAGGCGAACTAGTTGAGTTCTTAGGCACCAGTAAATATTTTTCTTTGGGTTAATTGAGCAAATCGTTGAATTTTCATTAAAATACTGAGTTATCTGGAAGGTTAAGGATCACGAGCGGTGTAGACTAAATCGACAAAGTGGTCAGAAAAAATACATTTATTTTGACTGGTTTTACCAAATCTATTCGTGCTTAACCTTCCGATACGGAGCACACATGTCCCATGCTGATGCAGGTAACGAAACTATATGAGTTCTGTATTCGGATGTACGGTAGAAACCAATGGCCGCTACACGTTTATAGCAGCAACTTTGTTTGCATTCAACATCCGTAGAATCGTTTTCATGGTCAATCCGAATTGATTACCTAAGACGAGGGTTGATGAGAAATTTTGCCAGCTGAATTTAGTGCGTATAGATATTTTCGTTAGTTTACTTTGGTGAAATCAAGCTATTTATATGGCATATACCGTTTGCTCGCTCAATCGGAATTATTATTTACAGCTATCCAATAAGACGTTCCACTGTAGACTTATAATATGGGTCTGGTGTGAAAATAAAAATCGATACTATCAAAAATCATCAGCTTCCGATTAGAACTTCGGCGCTTACCATTCAGAGACGAAGTGTTATTTTTGACTGATAGAGGCTTCGAGAGCTGGCCTTATATGTATCACAAAGTCCAAGATCCTATTGTGATTTAGCATCCCGTGAATATTTCGTCCCGAGTCACAACCTTGAGTAAGTTTTGGTAAGGTAATTGGAAATCTCTTAAATTTGATGAGAAACAATATTTCGAAAGCGTTCCAGTCTGGCATGCAGGTTTTCAAATAAATGTGCTTTAGTCTTTGTAAGAATATCTTTGAGAATAATAACTATAATCAATGGTCGTACATATCCCTTTGATTTTTGTCATTTTAGACAGGCAAATTATCATATCTACCACTGCGCACACTAACTCATGATTGACGTCGATAGGATGCCAATTATTATTTTTTACTATTTCTAAAAGTTACATAATTTAACTTGCGCCAAATTCAACACTCCGAACAGTCTCTCGGCTTTCTCCTTCAGAATTAAAAGTGTTCAGTGGTTAAAAAAAAAGTTGACCCTGTCCTACTTATATACTATAGCTCCATTTTGTCCGTTTGTTACGTAATTATCCTTAGACGTTAGAAGGCGACAAAAATGCGCGGGGTAATTGATTTCTACATTCACGCTAGAAGACAAAGCTCTGATTAAAGCAGGTAGGTCTGGGTCACGAAAAGTCTGAACGCTTAACTACGTATGTAGAACTGTCACGTGGTCGAGCTGAATATTGTAAAGTACAAACGATTTTATGGGATTTTTCGGCAGTCAGAAGCCAACAGGCTGACTGTTAGTACCTCGATGGCTGTCAATATTTGTGGCTGCTTGTGAGAGTCCCTGGGAGATCGAAGCGCTTTTATAGTATATTAGACATAACGTATACACATATGGATAGGCTACCGTACCAGTAGGCAATATGGCAGAACCCATGTCAAGAGAAGCGACAAGCAAAGATGGGCATACGATTAAAGTAGGCCGTTAGGAAAATATCAACTGGAAACCTATATTTATTCTTTTTCTTGTTTTATATATATATATATATATATATATATATATATATATATATATATATATATATAAATAAATGTATGCAATATACATGATTAACAATTGATTTACGCCCATGGCTCCTGTGGCACAGAAATGTGACGTTTTTGTGTGTTTTATTTATTTTCTTGTTGTGTATTCTTGTAAAAGGCATGTCAGGTTACTAATTTAACTTACTCATGCCTGTTTTGTCTTTGATAGGAAGCGAACCTGCAAGCCGCCAATGAGCTTCGTCGAATGGGAAACAAAAAGGTGTTTTCATTTCCCTGTGACGTCACCGTCGACGCGCAGGTTAGCGCGGTAGCAGCCAAGATACTGAAGTTCTTTGGCAGAGTACGTCTTCTAATGATTTTAGGACTCGTATTAGCACATAACTGAAGGCTGGCCAGTATGTGTATAGCTAATCAGTTCGTTTTATGGGGGGATTTATTTACAGGGCAACAATTTTCAGTTGTCAATAAGAGCGAAGCTTAGGCCTCCAAATGCAAGCGCTTATATGCGTTGACGCAGTGTGAACAGGTATGCGTTGGTATATTGTCTAACACACATATGTTTAATGCAGGTGGACATCCTGGTACACAACGCGACCTGGTGGGAACCCACGGCTGTTTCTCCACTGATCCAATCACCATCAGAGGCTATTCATCGGACGATAAACGTCAACCTTCTTTCTCACTTTTGGGTAAGCTCAGCCAATCGCTACTAAACCTCTACAATCGTTAAAGTTCCAAGGGCACTGCTACAAGAACAACGGTTGGGGTCTTCCCGTTATTTACAAACGCGACAACTAGCGAAGTTCTGGTTGCGTGCCCAGGAGAACGAAGACCTCTTCACGAAACGCTTCGCTCGATATTAGACAAGAGCATTTATTACACAATGGATTTCGGGGTTAACTCCTGTTCGAGCCTTGTTTTCATGTGTAGACCACTAACAACAATATATAGATCAGTATAGATATATATAGGTGCAAGTTCCTAGATAGTGTGAAAGTGAATGCAAAACTCAATTGTAGAAAGATTTTTAATTAATTTCGGGTTTGGCATTGAAGATACCCTGACCGAACTTTTGTCATCGTATAATCGACTGTCGGCTACTAAAGTGGTTCTTCATATTTGTCTAACAAACGCTGTTTAGTGCTTGAACGGTCTTTTATAATAAGTAAAAACTATTAGTAATCACTACGACATTTTAGCTTTTACCCAGCGAATACAAAAAATCAACAGTTTGTATTAAAAATCCTGTAATTACGCGCCTGTGAAGAAAGCAGCATTCCCGAATTTATTTAAAAACACTTTATATCAACCGGCACGAAAAATATGGATTGGTTTGTATTGAGTACGATTCCGAATGGCATCGCTGCACACATCAAAACAAATGCTGGGCATTATAGAACTTTATTATAGGAACAAGTTAAAGAAAACAAAGAAAGCATTTCCCGCTTTCCGCGTATTTTTTCTTGGTAAGATGGATGTGTGTGTTTTTGCAGTATCATTGCGACGTAGTCTACTTTAAGTTACGATTTTAGCTGGCTAATCGAGCTAGTAGCGATACTGTATAGTTTTACGCGGTGCTAGTGTCGACATAGCTGTATATAGTCCAGAAGAATCGTGGTAGATGTGGCCAAGTTCGCCGCTGTGCCTCAAAACTGTTGGCCTGCAGCCTTCGTGCCCTTCTCAAGACAGCGAAATTCGAAACTATCAAAGAACTCTGTAACTCCTTACGTATCTAGCCATGGCTGCTGGAGGCGTTTGGTCGTAGACGAACATAAGTACCGGTGCATTATTCTCGAATTTTCCAAGCTTAGCTAACGACCGTTGGAATATAAATTTTTATTCGTCCACGTTTAACGTAACAAAACGCACTACTTCAAACGACTTCAAATGGAAATACTTTCGATGACATTTGCCCTGCTTGACAGATTCGAAACTGAACATGTGCACTCTGCCCCACTACGTAACCTATACGGATATGCTCCTTACTGTCGGGATGCCAACGCGTTTGAAATTGTTTCCTGCCATAAAACGCCCACGCAAGTGGCTTGCATGGAGACGGCCCGTAGCTAAACGTCCAGAAGCCACAAAAACACACATCTGTGTTTTGTTGCGTAGTTTCTTAAATGCGGACAAAAGAAAATTCAGTTCATCTTGCAACGGTCGCTTAAAAAAACTTAAAAAACTCAAGAGCACTGGTGATTTGCAACACTTATGATGCACTGATAATGAGAGCACTTATGATGGTGTTTGTAAAAAAAAAAAAAAAAGTCTAGTTTTTCCTTCTACATTTTCTGTCAAGTAGCTTTTAATATCCCATGGTAACCATATTAAATCCTGCTGATAATGATGTTCACCTGCAGTACTTTCTATATGTACAATGCTTATTTTGCATTCACGCTACCTCTCCTGTAGCCGAAACCTTGCGCGCAGTTTGTGCAGCTGCAGATCGATTCGTTGCACAGAGTCATCTTTGAAAAATCACAAACGACTACAAATTTGACGAGAGCAGATAGATGCCGAAGATTGATTGATCCTTGAGACTGTCAGGGTCAATGTTTCAATATACGAACGTATCGAGAAACAGCTCCATTCATTGACAGGTTAGCGATAAAAGCGCATCGTGGCAATGTTAAGAGATTACTACTACTATTTGCTGATTAGAGATATCGAAGGCCCTTGATTATCTATCTGCTTTATATATCGAAGTGAAGGTTTAAAATTCGTGACTACCGGAAGCGCTGTGTTATTTGTAGAATTGTTTAACTACACTATTTACGTAGCAACACAGCATACATGTTAAGGTAAGGTAACCTGTATTGAAAAATACTACAAATGTCAAACGTTAATAGCATACACTGGGACCATCGCGGTTCTCGGCTCAAGGCACGCGCTTCGTCTGGCCATGCGGCAATCCACGAGAAACATGTTCGATTAGCTACATCCTTCACATCAACGAAGCGTGGGTCATCTTGCAAACTGAAATTGAAAAATTGGCGACCCATTAATGATTTCGAGAGAAAGATACTATTCTATTCGGGCTAATCTTCGATGTAACAGAAGTTAACGGGGAAAAAACGCTTGCAACTGTTGAAAAATTGCCGAATGGTCCAAATTTCAGATGACGCGTGCCTTTCTACCTTCAATGATCGAACGTCGTTCCGGTCACGTCGTGGCTATTTCCTCGCCGTCCGGGCTTATTGGCAATTCTGCAAGGTTTTCGTCGTTTTGCGCCTCGCAACATGCCATAGTTGGCGCTATGTCAGCGTTAGCTGCTGAACTCGAGGCATACCCCAGCATTAAGCTCTGTATTGCATGTTGTCCTGTAACTGTAGTAACGGCCACGACAGGTAAGGACGGCGCACGCCTTCTTCTATTTAGCTAAGAAACGAAGCTTTGAGATTTTCCCATATGATCGGTTCCAGTTTATTTGAGATTCGTGTATGAATGAGTGAATAAAAAACAGGCATCACCAGCGCGAACAAATACATGACACTAATTGAAAACGGATTGGAACAAAACTGGAATTAAAATCACTGCTAATTACAACAATTACAAAGCACTGTTTAATGAAACCACATTACTAACAGAGACGGATCGCCATAATTGTTTCGATTAGATACTAGTACCGTGACGACACATCGATTGCGTCTGCCTTCAGCTATTCGTCGTCTATTAGGGCTTGAATTGCCCACGTTACGTGAGCAAGCTGCCGTTCTTGTCGACGGTATTCGAAGCGACAAAGAGTACGTCGTCGTACCTAAGGGATTCGTTCTACTACAGTTTCTCGAACAGTGAGTATTGCTTACGTGATACGTATGAAATAGTGATAATGATAAAAAAAAATATCAATGATCCTGAAAAGGTATTCGAAATAAGGATGGGTTATCCCCTATTTCGCGGGTCAAATTGGGGACGGAAAACGGCGCTGTGTGCCTAACCTCGGTTGCCACTGTTGGATTATAGGATCAGAATAGTTGCTTTAACTGATCCCTTATGAGGGAAGTGCATTTTGATTAAACTTGAATTATGGCTATGTGCCAATATTTAGGCCTGACCGAAATGACTTCTTATTCATGAGACTTTTAGGAACCTGTTTTTCGAACCTGTTCTTGTCATTACGTTAGTCGACGGCGTTGAGTATCTATCTAGCGGTGTATATTGCTAACAGATTTCGCAGGGATGGGAAATCTAAACTTGTTACATGCGCCTTTCGACTGCGTTGCAAGCCTATCAGTACGCCTGAAAATAATAATAATAGAAAGCTGTTAATGCCTTTCTTGAAGGAGTCTCATAGATGTACGCATTCCCATCACCCGTTTATCACACTTGGATGCAGGTCACAAGTGACTGACAAGTTGTTTTCCCGGGTAAGGATTACCCTTACGAAGTAGCAGCTGGCGTGAAAATACAATGCTGTCCTTTTTTAGACACGACAGAGGCACTCGTATTGGATAGGACAAAATTTCAGATTAGCGCCCGCCTGCCCCTCGCATCTATGTACCCGTTCTTCAAAAGTATGGTAATCGACCTAACCTGTTGAATTGTCTCAGATAGGAAATCTCGCTAAACAGCGAACAGATGGTAAAGAAGCCGTAGAAAATGATCGCTATATTGTATAGCCTGTGTATGAAAAAAAAAAGAGTTATTTGTGGTATATTATAACATACCTCGCACTGGTTTATAAATGTAAATATGTATAAAAAATGTAAATAAGATAAATAAAAAAAAGAGAGAGAAAGGATCTGGCACGGTCGTTTCACATCCTGTGTCATCTACAGAAAAACAAAGTAACAACGCGTAAGCTAACGTACATTCACCTTTGACGGTACACAAACAGGAAAATCTTGCTACCTCACCATTTTCATGTGCCGGGCTTAACGTTTTATCCAGTCTCAGTGCAGTAGCGATCCGGTCGAGATGCGTTTGACCAGATGGGCTCTTGGAGTTTTTCTGAACTGTTGGCCATCTAATGTCATTTTGTTGAGACGAGATATCAAAGAATGGGTGCCACCTAGGTTTGCTTTGTTTTCGGGGGCATCGACCGATATTAGCTGCTCACCTCAGGCAGAGTTTGTGGAGCATATAGAGCGGAAGGTAGGAAACGTCAACTGTACGGCAGACCTGATGATTTTGTGTTAAGATAATGAAATTTTGTCGAAAGCGATTGGGTGGGAGTTCCAATTGATTCCAGTTGCCCATGGTCAGGATACCACTACTTAGTTATGTTTGTGCCGCTGTTCTCATCTTTGTTTTTTTCCAGTTGGTCTCCATTTACCTGAACCAAAACAAAGATCTAACTTAATCTCTTACCCTTTTTAGGCTTCTTTCGCAAAAGTTGTCGAAGTTCGCGCGAGAAATGCTTCTCCTTGAGAAGGTGTCATCCCCGCTGGCCGTGACATCAGCGGTCGCAGCATCTTCAAGTCGAGTTACCAATGGAAACTCCTGTCATTGACAAATCAAAACCCGTTTAAGTAGAGTGTATTCCAGGTTCTTCGATCGCCCGAGGTACGGGCTAAGAGTCCTCATAGTTAAAAGACTCCAATGCTGGAAGCAGTTGACTTGTGCCTAATATCAACTATAAACAGACTATCGCAGAAGTATCATCGAGACGTTAACGACAGACCATTAGAGAGATGATAATCGATGTTGGAATCAGCTCAAGCGTCGCCTATTGTTTTTGCTCATTATTTCATATTCCCAATGACAGTTCTTCTATTCGAGCGTATTTATCATCATCAGTGATTTGACGACAATAGATGAAACGGATTGGAAAAATAGTGTGTTTGCACAATACCATAAATCTGATCGTGACAAATCTGCCATCGGAGAGAGGGCGGACTATGGTAAAGCATACTTTTGTCAGATCGTTGTTTGCTTTATTAAGCCGCCCAAAATCTTCTAGCAACGCCTGGACCGGAGTTAGAAGCGATGCTCTTAGCCAAACCGAGATCGGCCACTAATTCGTAATATAACACGTAAGATACATTTGATAGTGGCAGTGTGTAAACAAAAGCAATAAACAATCTATTCCATATGTAAAAGAGATTTATTGTACAATTAAACCAATTCATGCGCCACAATTGACCGAGCGTCTTCTAGTTGGTACGTTGCCTGGCAGAAAGGTATTTTCTTTTTTCGAAATTGATTGATGCCTTGCAGTGATTTGTCATTCTTCTCCTAGTGGTTTCTGTAGAGTACTTTTTGGGCAGTAATCGCCCTATTGCATCCTGATCTTCATTAATAGATTTACATTAATCCTGCTACAGCTGAGTCCTTATCTCCTGTAAAAATAATCTATTTTTAAGATAGGGTGGTAGTAAATTGTGGAAAAACGTAAACTAGAAGTTTTAGCTGATTTACGGACGTTTAGCGTTTTACGTTTAGACTGCTCTCTTCATCACACGACTGCGTTCGTACTTTAAACTCTACTGCAATTACTTTTTAAAGTCATATCCTGCGCGAATGCACGATATTCCGTAAAAGAACAATGGAATGGACTGTATTCTTCTATGAGATTAAAAATGTAGCAGAAGTGATGGAAACGACTAAGACAAATTGATTTACCGGTTACGTAGAGCGGACACCATATCGTATCATTCTACAGGCAGCGTTAGTCGATGCGTAACACCGACGCTTTTGTCCCAAGGAAGCTATTATATTTTGGCTTGACCTGATTTGCGAATTCACTAGTTGGTTACGATAAGGCCAAGTTGGTGGCCGGCTTGCTGGTAGGTAGGGCCTTGTTCGCACCATATTCATGTAGTAGATTTGTTTTGTCGAATCGCTACGTGTTCGTCGCCCTGGCGTTAACTGGCACATGACCAAGTCGTTTATCGTTGATGCCTTGTTCCTGCCATAACTTGGAAGTTTTTTTTAACTGTAGAGATACGTCACTTTTACGAAGCTAATTTCATATATGATACATATTATATATGCATTAAATTGACCAAAATCTAAACGTTTACCGTTTTGCATCGCTTCCGCCCTCAAATGCTTATTCGTGGCACCCGATGAAGTCGAATGTAAACGTTCTATAAATACACGTACATATAAGTATGTTGATCGTGTTTAATCTAGACATAACCTTGAATTTATATCGTTTATGAGAAAAGGTGGTCGACAAACCTTACTACAGACGTTTTAGATTATCAACCGTGAACAGAGTTCCTTCCCGCCAGCTAGACGACTTCCTTGCTAGATTCTAAATGTTTTTCCATCTTAGTCGTCTTAATCTGCCTACATTCTGTACAGAGTATATTATTTCTATTATAGACGATAATGCAGGTGATGCTGGCGGCGAACTCGACCGTATTTAGGAGGGACGTTAAGATGAGAGAAGATCGAGAAGTAAGGAAAAGACGAAAACAATCAAATGAACGAAGACGAGATTAATAAAATAGAGGATAAAATAAAGATAAAATCTTCTAACGAACTCACGTGAATAGAAAAAAAATACACAACACACACGGGGTTAAAAATAGGTTATCAAGGCCGTTTTCGAGCTGCTGACGACATCGTGCTTGTATTACATGTTAGTTCTTCTTATTGTATAATTAAATAATAATAATATTATTAACATTATTTCAAATAGCATACAAAGTTGCGCTATAAAAGTTGCTAGAAGAGATGATCAAGTTACGGACTAACAGTTGCTATAAAGAACTGTGAAGCTACTTTCTTTCTTTCTTCAACAACACTATAGCTTTTAAATTACCTTGAAGTTACATGTCATAAAATAGAATAAATACCGGCTTATTCTCAGATGGTAACAAACTAGTTTTATCTAGTTTTACTTAATTGCGTACTGGGAGGAGTTTACTATGGTATCTCGAACCGCATTACTCTCACAGATGGCATCGTCATCGCTTTGATAACACGTTCAGGTCTGTCGAATGAGTCCGATAAATTCAATTCCAGTTTGCTTACATTTGGTATTACGTATAGCGTACTCTGGTGATACTACAGTGAAAACAAATAAGGGGTACACAAATAATAAGGAATCAATTTCAGTGTTTTGGTACTTATATTGTCATTGTGTGGCAAATTTGGTTTGTGCTGGCAGGAGTCAGCTTCCTAGAGCAATGCTTCGCGGTGGCACAAGACATAAAATTCGAGATACTTAGCACATAAGTATCGTGAAGTTCGTCATCATAATGATCAGCTTTGTAGAGGAAATATGCAACGGCTGATGGATGGCACACTGTCTAACGAAACAGTTGTCATCGGTGTTTGGAACAATCATATAAAGTCGTTTATGGAAGCGAAACAGCAAAGTATCTCAAAGCATGTTTGAAAAGGCATTTTCTTGATGTTATCCTGCTTAGAACGAAGCGTACGCGATCAGCCCAGGACGTAAGGTGATCAAGATGGACTAAAGCTGAAGACTCTAGGCATATAGGGTTCCCATAGAATCTGTGTATCTCATGCCATAATAGTCAGAGATTTATTTTATCAACATGAAAGGAAGAGGCGGATTTTAGCTTATAATTAATATAGTCTGTTTGTTTATGACTCATACATCGATATTTTAGGCTTGTCGTTCACTTCGTCAGCATGCCACGTCAAAGGTAAGCCAGCTGCAACATTACATGCGTTTGCCTTATGGAGCAGTTAGCCAAGATAAGCCAAAATTAAACAAACACTATTTGTTTTCTAATCATTCTTCCATTCGAACTGTTACTTAGCATAATTTCGAAATATGCCGAAATATCATGTTTAACAGCAGTCGTCTTGTTGACAAATGTGCTTATTGCCGGACACACGTACCTGTACTGAGTGTTTATTGTCAAAACAGGAGAAAAATATATATGAAGCACAACAAAAGTTTCTACACATTGACAGAGATGACCGATTAGTAATCATCAGTTCATTTGTTACGGAAATTCGATTCTATCGCTGAAATCCGACTCTGTGCTGATTATTGAAGATTGAATCGTACCTGTTTTGCTGCTATACGCAGTCTGGCGTAGCTGGACAAGATACAGAGTTTGTTTTGATAGGTTAAAGCGACCCATCAAGGCTAGTTTATAAAGCGTTTCCGCTGATATCTGTTTATTGCCAAAATTGCCCAAATCGTTCCGATAACAATAGTGGATTCAATTAAACCCAACGAACATAACAAAACGTATAGTTAATATCGTATCTCCTAGTGAATAAGTCATTATATACACTACATTTTGGCTCAGCGTACTCTGCTGCTAGCATACTAAGGATAATCGACCGTAAAATCTGTCACTATATATATATATATATATGGTATTTTTTTCGTATCAGTGGCGAACGTTTTTAGATTACGTCGATTTCGCTACACCCCTTCGCCAAAAAAGCGGCCATATTAGTCAGGTTATACTGTAGTAACCTGTAATTCAACATAATGGTGGTACGGTTCAGTAGCTTTCTTTAAATCTTTAATAACTTTCAACCTAAGTTGTAGACTGTTTAAAGGCTTCTAAAGCAGTGGGTTACGTAAATTACGGTTACGGTTCTGAAAAATAATCTCAGTTCTGTGCAAAATTTTCATTGTTTTGTGAACAGAACCCGCGGCATAGCCTTATATGAATTAGAACAGAAGCAAAACATAAGCACTGAACTATTTTATGAGAAAGGAAAGTTATTAGGTGAAAATTTAAATTTTTACTTTTAAACAAAACAAACTTTTACGTCTTATCTATAGTGACATCTTTTTCAAGTCATTTGCCTATCTAAATCGTATTAAACTTCTCGTATCCACGAAACTCTTAAGGTAGTAGTGTAGTTTAGTTAATATCCGTTCACGACTGTAAAAATGAAGTGCTCATTTCTACAGAGCCCAGAAAGTATATGGCTATATATAGCGATCACTATTATGGCCTAGATTTAGGCTATTTTTAGTATGCTAGCAGTAGAATATTCCGAACAAAGAGGCTAAAGTTCTCGATCACCCAACGCGCTGGTAATGTTTCTATATAGTAGATATGGCTTATTCACTAGAGGAAATATGACATCAACAATTTCGGCGACAGACACTGTCATACATCTTTCTTTCGACGGCAGCTGAAATTAAAGACTGCTCTATTGTGTTCAGCGATCACCTCTTCCTGCCTGGTTTGTTTCGATGATCGACAACAAAAAACGAATCTTTACAGCACGAAAACAAATCCTATTCGTCACTATTAGAATGACTGGTTAGAAAAAGAATTAGTGTATAAAAATATACCATTTTTGCTGCAGATAGTTTATAACGCTGTCGATGTCTCGTTTTAGTAGGCGAAGTGCAGACGTAAATACTTCTTGCGAAGGGGTAGCGAAAAATAGGGATTGCGAAAACAAACCTCTTAAGCCTTTATACGTAGTTTCCATTGACGTACGACTATGACGTGTCCGACCGAGCACAAATATCGAGTGCGGGCATTAAAAAACCTGTTTTATGTGCATTCAATAGAGCCGATGTTATATCCCGAAACTACTAGAACTAGTACAATTTGTTACCTATTGACCACATATGCTGTTTGCATACCACTATAAGTTGTCTCTATTCCAGTCAATAACGTCTATATATTCATGTATGTATATAAAGCGAATTGGCCTGATTTTTGGGTCGTATAAAGCAAAACCGATTGATGAACTACTTTCCCCTTAAATAAAAAAAATTTCCCCATAGAGCGTAATGTTACTTTAGTTGGTCGTAAATCGACGGCAGATTTTTTGTTTTTTCACGTTAGAAGCAACGTATATATTATAAACAGCAAGAAGGCCAGCGGAAGCCCTTGCACTAATAAATTATCCGTTTAGATGTTTTTTGTCGTGGACAAACGCGCTCACGTTGTGTCGTATGACTGTGGAAGAAGGTATTAGGCCAAAGCTATTATGCGAATTAGCTGGCCGCTAGTCGACCTTACCTCCAGTTATATAATAAGTATATACGATAATAAACACTATATATAAAATGATAAAATGTGTTTCGTACAGAAACAAACTCAAAGCGAGGTTGGCGACTGGCCCTCCAGTGTAGCTCAAATCATCCTTCCATACGACTTTTACAACGGACTACCCTAAATAGCCAATTTACTAGTTGCGAATTCTGCATGTTGCTTACGAGCTACGGAATTTGGCTACCTAATTTGACCTTTCTGCCGCTGTCAAGGTCGTTTGCCGTTATGATTCCCTTATCGTCACAAGCTTGTGTGATATTTCTTTGAAATATGCACGGTACCAGTGGATGTATGTACAACAACAATCATATCTACGAAACCCATCATTTTAGATCATATGCCGTCAAATTTCTCAGTTCTGTTTGGCCATTTTCTTTTGAGGCTTTCATATTTTAATTGATTGCCTGTTGTGCCTGGGGCGCTCTTCGTGCAAACAGATATGAGTCGACGTGTTCGGGCCGCTCGACTTGTGACCCAGCGAAACAGACCCACTGCACGTATCGCTCACCTTAATTAGATTGAAATCAATGAAGAGCTATTGATTTTCAGCTTACTAAGCTTGAGATTTTTTACTTCTGGTTGGGGTCAATGCAGCTTTCATGCACCGCTCATGAGCACGCCCGATGGATGACCCAAACGTGTGATGTGCTTGGTAAAGAAAGGGGAGCGTTGCGAAGTAAAGTTTCCAAGGATTTATTTTAGTGGACTGATTATTGTACTGTAGTTATGAAGTGAGCAGTTACTATAAAAATATAAATCAACCATTGTGTATGGCAGGTACTGCGACTGTCACTTGATTCGTTATAGGAGTACTACTTAAAGCACCATCGTCTGCATTTCCAGCGAAGTACTTAGAATAATCGAGTGAAAATACATGAATGTATATTCTTTATATA